TATATATATATATATAGTTTAAATAAATATATATATATATATATAGTTTAAATAAATATATATATATATATATAGTTTAAATATATATATATATATATTCTTTGTATAGGATTTTTCTTTTTTATAAAAATGTGCCAGACAATAATTAACTTGTTTTCTTTCACTTGCAGCTCTGCCTGTTTCTCACTTAGCTTTCAACACATATCTGAAAATGTCCCAGAAAACTAATTGTCCAAGTTAATCATCGTGGAAAGTGGGTGACCCATTGTACACAAATGCGAACCTTTCTTCTGCGTGAGCCAAAAAAGAAAAGCAGCCTGCCAAACACCTGTAAAAAGATGGCTATCATCATATGGGAATTTGAGGATCTGTTATATGGCACAGTCATGATCCAAATGGGAAAAAAAACAACTGTCATGATGTCCTAGGAGGCTTTACAATAAACAACAGAAGAAAATTATAACGGTTTTCCATCTGTGCTTGCAAACTAGACTTCCATGTAGTTACTCCAGATAAATCCAAGGAAATTGTGCAGATAATTCTTTGAAAAGTCCCCAAATCATACATAGAGGCTAACATATGTGGCAAAAAGAAAATTATTTTATGCTGTTTCTTCAACCCATTTACAATCCATATTTTAGAAAGAACAGGATTTAATCAATTGTGAATTTAGGTTTTAAATCACCATCAAACAAAACAGTTTCTCCAGAAAGAATCATGCTTGCTAATGACACATGTAACAGGACAAATGGAGACAACACAGATTTTCGGTACTTCATCTATGCAGTGACATACACTGTCATTCTTGTGCCAGGTCTTATAGGGAACATATTAGCCTTGTGGGTATTTTATGGTTATATGAAAGAAACAAAACGGGCTGTAATATTTATGATAAACTTAGCCATTGCTGACCTATTACAAGTTCTTTCCCTACCACTGAGGATATTTTATTACTTGAACCATGACTGGCCATTTGGACCTGGCCTCTGTATGTTCTGTTTCTACCTAAAGTATGTCAATATGTATGCGAGCATCTACTTCTTGGTTTGCATCAGTGTGCGAAGATTTTGGTTTCTCATGTACCCATTTCGCTTTAATGACTGCAAACAGAAATATGACTTATATATCAGTATTGCTGGCTGGCTGATCATCTGCCTTGCCTGTCTACTATTCCCACTCCTCAGAACCAGTGATGACACCCCAGGCAACAGAACCAAATGTTTCGTGGACCTTCCTACCAGGAATGTCAATCTGGCCCAGTCTGTTGCCATGATGACTGTTGGAGAATTGGTTGGGTTTATTACTCCTCTTCTGATTGTCCTGTATTGTTCCTGGAAGACAGCTTTATCACTGCAAGATAAGTATCCTGTTGCTCAAGACCTTGGAGAGAAAAAGAAAGCCTTGAAGATGATTCTAACTTGTGCAGGGGTATTTCTAATTTGCTTTGCACCTTATCACTTCAGTTTTCCTTTAGATTTCCTGGTCAAGTCCAATGAAATTAAAAGCTGCCTAGCCAGAAGAGTGATTTTAATTTTTCATTCTGTGGCTTTGTGTCTTGCTAGTCTAAATTCCTGCCTTGACCCAGTCATATACTATTTCACCACTAATGAGTTCAGAAGACGTCTTTCAAGACAAGATTTACATGATAGCATCCAACTCCATACAAAATCCTTTGTGAGTAACCATACCAATTCTACCATAGCAACTGAATTATGCTAAATAACAAATGGAATGAGGCCTGGAGAGCAAGTACATCAGAATACATTTGCAATTCCCCAAGCTACAGGGAAGTACTCACAGGAAGCATTCATAACTTTTCAGTTGTATTCTCTTACCTGTATGGGGAATTCACATTTTCATGGTAGTAACTATTTGCAGCATTACGTTCCACAATCATTGATGTTGACCTGTCCATGTAGTAATTTCTCATCAGGTCTTTTAAGACTGAAACTAAACTATAAAATTTTAATGACATTCTGTACATATATGCTCTCATCTAGAGTCAATGACTTTATCTGTGAACCTAAGTTGCAATGAGATTACTAGCTTGGGGCTACCTTAAACACCTGAGATTATTACTACAAATATTGAGTCTCTATATTCAGAGGAAGTGCAGTTATCTATTTATAATAGTAATCACATTTTACATTCCAACAACATAATTTTGGTTGTATTTTAAATAGGGTGGATATATTACTCTGTGTAAACAAAATTTTATAAACATTGACTCGCTTTTATCTTCCATGTGTGTGATTGGATTCCAAGGTTTAAAGACACAAATAGCTATTTTCTTCATTCAATGTCAACTTGAAACATCATTTGTTACATCTCTTCAGTGAATCAAAATCTGAACTCAGGACTCTGGTATGTTTTAACTAATAACAACCACATCTACATAAAATAACTCTTTGTGATTGTATATGATGCCACCTTGAATCTATCCAGGGCAGATAGTTTGCCAAAGACAATCCAAGGTGACCCAAATGACCTATAGGCCCAGGAGAAAGCAGAAAGGAACTAATCACAGTTCCGTCTCTCAAACTATTTCCAATGAACATCTCTGGAAATGTATGAAGATGCACAATAGAGGGAATCTTCATCATGTTTCTAGAGTTACATTGAGGTAACTCTGATAGTTAACTGCACTTACTGATCATATGGAAGAAATAGGGCACTAATTAATCACTAAGTTTAGGCTAGAATGGAAAGATGAAACAAAGTTAACTATGCCTCTTAAAAACATCATCACATTATGTTTTTTATTCCAGGCTAGGTGTTATCTGTAAATCCATCTACACAAGCCAGAGTAGAGTTTGGAGGCAGTCATGTGGATCATTTTTCTTGTTCAGCTTTGCCCCAGCCATATCAATCTGAAAGCCTGCACAGCTCACATCCCAGCAAATGGGGAAGGCAATTCTTTCATCTGTTGAAAAAAGTGTGGAAGATAATTTTGGCATCTTTGGACACACCTTACAATTGCTTTGTCTGTTACCTGTTTGGTACTATTATGGAGGACAAACCTAGGATATGAGTAGTAATTAAACCTGAGGTCATAAATATTAGCATGTTTTACAACATGATTTAGCAAAAAGCTCTAACTTTAAAAAAATGTTCTATCTAAAATTGGTGTCCTGTAATGAAGACACATTCTACTTTTCATCAAGAAAGGATGCAGAATCCAAGCAATGGTTTTAACATATATAGAGGAAGGTTTAGTTTTAGGCACATAGTTATGATACTAATATGTTTATGGGAAAAGCTGGTGAAATCGAAATGAATTCTAAAAGCTAAGATTAACAGGACATTTTATAAAGTTTTCCTCTGGGCAATTGTTTATTTGACTTGTACTTTGATATAAAAATAATACCATATTAGAAAGATGACTCTGTGCTGCTAGTAATAGTGTATCTGTGTATCTTCTAATAATTCATCATAAGGTACATGTTTTGATGTATTAAATGAGTGTTAAAATTTAAGAAGAGTAACTGTAACTGGTGTATGTTTGCTTCAAAGTGATTTGTGTTTGAGTATAATTTAATGTTGTAATAAGATTCCAAGTAATCATTATGTGGAATTGTGAAACAACTGTAGGTACTTGTGATGGGAGGATTCTGTCTAAATTCTGTGCTTACTATTTCCTAGATTTACATGAATTACACTTCTTAGGATCACATGGGGATACTATTGATTTAATTTTATTAACATTGATTTCATTTTAAACATTTTCTCTTGAAGGGGAGAAGAAACATTTCTAGGAGTTTATTGACATTCTTGGAGGTTTGATTGAAGGCAGAATCCATTTGTTAGGCAGCCCATTTATATCATTAAATAGAAGACAAGTGCCCAGTGTTCTTAGGTTACTTAATGAAGACCACCTCTTCTATAAGGCCTACTCATCTAGGTTTGCATCAGTTCTCTGATTTCCTTTGTTCACCCCACACATACATACACACCTCATCAATACATTTTATCTTCTGCCCCATTCCCATGCTCTTCTAGGCAATAATCTGATCAACTCATTCATACTATGGTGCTAATGACTAATGTTAGCTTAATATTTGTCCATGGATATAAGAATTCCAGACTGTATGACTAGGCATTATTATAAAGTGGTGAATTTCAGTGGAGGGATTGCAAACACTGAAGCAGACAGACTGGAATGAAAGTGGGTCGTATAGCAGTGCTTTTCAGATTACATATAGTAAGTGACCAACTACATTGCTGACCATTAGGGGGCTGCTAAATTCTAAGAAACATATTCATAAATGTGGCTATCAGTTTCTCAGATCTCTGTTTTTTTTTCTTTTTGCCTCGTTCCCTCCCAACTGTGGACCCAATTTCCAGGGGAAAATCCAAACTAGGAAAGAAGTCTTGATGTGGCTATTATGCAGGTAGTTGTCTCCTCCTGGAGAATCCCCATTCTTTGGAGAATCTTCCCTTCAGTTCTCTCACTTAGCTCTCTGGATTTTATGTAATGGGGGTACAAATAGTAAACACTCACCTATGGTAACATACAATTCAAGGTAAATGGTCTCACATTTCCTATGTAAAATTGTTTAAAGTATAATTTCAAAATGCAAGCATAATGATTCCAATACTTTTCAATATGAAGTGATTTTAATGTTATTACTATTGTCTTTATTGTTATTGTTATTATTATACTCAAATGGGTTATGTGTTTTCATTGTCCCTCATTAAGCAGAAAATTCCTTCAATGGGCAATTCCATGAAGAAGAGCCATCTGCCCCAGGAACAACAGACCAGACCCTCTTGGCCTGAAAGGGTGCATTGGTGGACTCTTGTGCAACCTAATTTTTATCTCACTTTTTGTTTTGACTCCCAAGATACTGTGAAATGTTGCACTTGGAGTTTATTTGCAGCTATAATTTATAATACACCTTTTAATAATAAAGATTGTTTATGTGGTTATATTTTCTGCCTCTAGAAGTCATTGTGTATTCAATTTAGCCTCTTTTTTTAGTAAACCAATAGACTTGAGTGTATTAGTGTTCTCACGCATGTGGATACACATGAATAAAAGAGACTGAGACTCTCCTTTTCTTTTTTCCTCTGTTGTAGAGGTATATCCAGTTCTCAAAGAGAAAGGTGAGCCACTTCCTTCACCCTATTATATTCTGTTCCCCTCTTCTCCCACAGATAGACATTTTACTATCTAAATTATTTCTCACCCTATCCGTGGGCTACTTAAAACCCTTTCTTTTCAATAAGAGGGCAGAGGGAATGTTTTCTTTTTATTCTTAAGGTTTATATGACATGGCAGTCTCTGTTTGTTCTTGTGGAATGGCAAGGAAAAATCCATCCTCTATTTCCCCCCTCTGCCCTTCTTAAAGAAGATATACTTAAACAACAACAACAACAACAACAAAATCAAGTCAGGAAAAACCTTTAGTCTTCTTCTCAGCCTAGCTCTTTTTTCCTCCTTGAGCAGTTCCTTACTCATCTCATCTATGTCCCTAGTGCTTTTAGGAAGTTGAGTTATATTCTGTTATAACCAAGTTATTAGAAAATACACATTTTGGCTCTCTCAGAAAGTCTTTCCCTGGAAATGGTAAAGTTTTTCCAAATGAGGAATTTCTGATGTTCTGGTAGACCTGAATAAAATAATAAAATTATAAATGTATAATTTCCCCCATGCTTCAAATGGCCTCAAGTCATATAGAGAACTCTTCTGTGCCCCTTGAAGCCAGCTCACAAATAACTCCATTGCTTTCAATGGAGTGGTGGTGGTTGTGGAGAGGAAGTGAGAGATAAACTTTTGAGTAAATGTAGCTGTTTTAACTTACTTATTCCTTAATTTGTAAAGAATGAAGTGAGTGTGTGTGTGTGTGTGTGTGTGTGTAGCAGAGGGTGGGAGAAGAATGAACTTTACAAAAAATGTCCTCAACAGAACTTTTCAGCCATATCCACTACTTGATTTTACCACCACCACTTATATTATTGATAAACTTCTCTTCATCTAACTCTCTATGCACATCTTCTGATGCATCCTTAGCCTTACATATGCCTTCTTTTATCTCTTCAAAGAAAATAATGCAACTGTTCCATGGAAAGTATGGTCATTAGGCCCACCTCCAGTGTCTTCTTTTATAGGAACTTCTAAATTTTTGTTTTTGATTTTTGAAAACCTGGGATTGAACTCAGGGGCACTCAACCACTGAACCACATCCCCAGCCCTATTTTGTATTTTATTTAGAGACAGGATATCACTAAGTTGCATAGCACCTTGCTGTTGCTGAGGCTGGCTTGGAACTCGTGATCCTCCCATCTCAGCCTCCCAAGCTGCTGGGATTACAGGCATGCACCACCCCACCCAGCGGAACTCCTAAAATTTGATTCCGGCCTATAATGATGAGATTTGGGGGAGCTTTTCTAAAACATATTGAATATCTGAAAATTATAAGAAGACTGATAGCATTCATACTATTCATGTGCTAATAAAATAAGAAGACAAAAATAAAAATAGTTCAAAGAAATGATAGTACAAGTTATGTACTCAAGGATTGAAAGCATAAAGGACGTAGTCTTACTAAAAACTGACCACACCACCTTTGCATAAAGTAAAACATTTAATACTGACTTTAAAATTGTCTAATCTCACAAGTTTAACTTTTTCACTGACACATATTTAAAGAAAAATGATACACAGTACATTCTACTATGGAAAAGTTCAAACATATTCAAAGAGGAGCAATTAATATAATAAAGTCCTAGTATTCAACTCCAGACAATATCAGTGCATAACAAACTTTCTCTGTTGTATGCAAGCTTTGACTCCTGTATCCTAGATTAAAATATATTCAAACATTATCTAATTTTATTTGTAAATATTTTAGTAAGTTATAGTGCTATTTCTATGAACCATTCAGTGTATGGTCAAAAGGTAATGAGAAATAAAAAACTGATTTTAAATGCTCTACAATGATGTCAAACACTAAATTCCAACAAGTAAAATTCCCTTTTGATCAATCTGAACAAGTTCCAACTCAGATACAAATATTCATTAACATGACTCTATTTCCTTTAGGTGAACCCTTTTCTACTTCACAGGAGTGATGGAGACTAGCACTGAATTCTGTTCAGTGATTACTGGGTCCAAATTTATTATAGATTTTTATGGGAAGGAATTGACTCTAATAAATTCAGTTCCACTAAATGTAAAAATATCAATGGTGACAAACTGCCTTTTCATTTTAGTTAAAAATTTTATTCACAAAACAATACTGAGAATAGTATTAGAATGTGTCTATGTAAATGTATATCCTTTAATATTTTTGAAATCTATGCCATAGTTATGTGAACTCTGTGACTATTACTTAGAGTTAGGTGGCTAAAGTTCTCTAAATTTTACCTCCCTCAGGCACAGCACATATTCATATTTTGTATCTGTCCTGATAAGAAAAGAATAGTTAGACTATGAGTTCAGCTGTTGTTAATAGAATTGTGACTTAAACTATATAGAAACACATTTTTTTCTTTTTCATGTAGAAGTCTAAGCCAGTATGGTAGCTTTTATTTTTCATGATGTTAAAAGATCCAGGCTCTTGTCTTATAACACCAATATTTTTTAAATATGTATTTTTATTCTAATTAGTTTTATGTGATAGTAGAATGTATTTCGACATATTATACATATATAGAGTATAACTTCTCATTCTTCCGGTTGGACATGATGTGGAATTTTACATGATGTACAACCAATGTGTAATCATATATGCACATAGGATAGTAATGCCCAATTCATTCTACTATCCTTCATATCCCCACACCCCTCCCTTCCTTTCCTTCATTTCTCTTTGTCTAATCCAAAATATTTCTGTTCTTTCCTACCCTCCCCTTATTGTGAATTAGCATCTGCATATCAGAGAAAACATTTGGCCTTTGGTGTTTGGGAATTGGCTTATTTCACTTAGCATTATATTTTCCAGTCCTACCCATTTACCAGCAAATGACATAATTTCATTTTACTTTATGGTTGAGAAATATTCCATTGTGTATAAATACCACAATTTCTTTCTCCATTCATCTGTTGAAGGGCACCTACATTGGTTCCATTGTTTAGTTATTGTGAACTGAGCTGCTATAAACATTGATGTGGCCACATCACTGTAGTATGTTGATTTTAAGTCCTTTGGGTATATATCAAGGAGTGGGATAGCTGGGTCAAATGGTAGTTCTGTTCCAGGTTTTCTGAGGAATCTCCAAACTGCTTTCCATATTGGCTGCACCAATTTGCAGTCTCACCAGCAATGTATGAGTGTACCTTTTTCCTTGGTTGCTTTCTTTGCACCTAAATGGTACAAGATATTGTTTTGAAAAAGTTTAATTGTAAGGTCAGTAGGTTCACATAACTCCAGCATATTGGATTCTTAGTTCTTACATAAGCAACTGAAGGCCAATGGAAATAGCAAAATGAAACTTAATGATTAGAAACTGACAACTAACAACCAACTAGGGACGTTTCACCCAAATAAGGCAAATGCCTTAGTTTAAGTTGCAAGCAGGCAATCAAATGATTTCTTAATTTGATTCTGCATGTAACCTATAAAACCTTGATTCTCACACAGCTTGGAAGAGGTTTCTAAATCTCTTCTTATTCTTGTTCTGAGGGTGACCCAATTTATGAACCATCCTTTGCTCAATTAAATTTAAATTTAACTTGTCTAAATTTTTCTTTTAGTGATATCTTATCACATTAATGTTATTGAAATGGGGGAGTGCAGGTATGTATCTTCCCTAAAGTTGATGACTGGATATTGGTAATATCCTCCTGCATGCAACTCACTGGCTTGAAATTGATGACATGGCCCCACCAAGCTGCCAGGAAGTAAAGAATTTGCAGTCATTATTCCAGGTGGGCACTTGTTAAATTAAGAATTGAACAATCTTTTTTTTTTTTTATTGAAGAAGTGGAAAATACATATGGAGGAACAATGTGTATTCTCTTTTTTTCTAGGGATTCAAGGGTTATAGGGATGTCATTTGTCCGAAACATTTCATCTATACCACAAACCCCAGCCGTCCTTTGTATACTCATCTCATTTTGTACAATCTCTACTTCCCTGAAATGGTGCAGCACCTTCTCTTCCACCTTGGGTTATTTAACACACCCAATGACACAAACATCTACAAGCAAATGGAACAGCATCTTAAAAGTCATGGCAAAGGTGTCCTGGCACTGTATGGACAAGGGTTAATGTCAGCAAGATGGAGAACCAAAGAGGTGGATATCAGAGGTGCCTATACTTTCTTCATACTGTTTCCAGAGAGAAAGCAACACTCCCTTTTCTGACAACACATCAATGAATCAGCTCAGGTGCAGCACTGGCCTCAAATTTAATTACTTTAAGAAATTAAATTGCTTTAAAATGTCTTTAGAATATCTCTTCCTTCCACCTCAACAGCTATCTTGTCTCTTCCTTCAATTTTCAAAGTCGTTCAGTTCTCAATGTTGATCACTCTAGCTAAAAAGAACTCTCCACCACTACAGATGCAAGTTCTCCTTGAATTTTTCCCTGAGTACTTATAATTTATAATTTTTTTGTTTATTTATTGTATGTCTGCCTCAATTTGAATACTAGATTTGTTCAATTTTGTGTCTGTGATGGTTAGTCCACAACCCACAACACAGTAAATACTCAAAAAATGTATGTTGAATGAATGAAGAGAAAATGGGTGTAAATAAGTTGAAATCTGTTATCCAGCATTTTCTTCATGGAATACTATATAAATTGATATCTTATGATTTATAGTACACAATAACAGTTCAGATTGATGGTATTGAACTAGGCCTTACCAGATTTTTAGGTGCTATCAAAATCATCTAAGAAGAAATATATTTGACTTTTTTTCCTTTATGTGTCCCTCATTGTATTATGTGGTATACTAAAGAACATATTTTGTCTTTGCTCCT